CGGTGCTCTAGCGCCGGCTCCACCGCCCACGGCGGTGGTTCGTCTCAGCCTGGTCGGTTTTGATCGATTTTGACCGTATCCTTGCAAAAAAATACATTAGAAGGCATCGGTTGGTCAAAAAATCACAAAAATCGAACCTACCAGTGGGGGAGAACTCTGGGTGCTTGGCTTTGCCGGTCCTCCTTCGTGGCTGAGATTCTTTCTTCGGATAACCTATATACAAAAAAATGGTGAACACAATGATCGAAAAATTACGTGAAATGGGAAGTGGGAAGGGGCTCATCAGATGAATTTTTGAGTTTTGACTGCGGCGGCTACGCCGGGCTTTACTCGTAGTTTTTAGCTAACCCGCTGTCCCTCTTGCTCCGATTTGGTCACATGGATGATCATAATTGAATTTCGAGCAGGTAAAGAGAATTTTTATCTTTTTTGGCAATCGACGGTGGCTCTGGTGCGGTAGCGGTAAACGGTCAGCCTCCTTCTCCAGTGCCTAGTTCTTCTTCTCTGGCGGGGGCTGGTGGCTAGGGTTTGGGTTCCCATGCGATGTGAAGTATTTATACCCATCTTGTGTCAATCTGGACAGTTCATCGCGATTGATCTCGTTCGTCCGATTGCGCCTAAGGAGGGAACGAATCTGAGCCGTCCACGCGCGCAAGATCGATCCTAGGCTGTCCGATCGCTGGACACGCAGATCGCCTGCATGGCCTCCCGCGTGGTGCCGACGTTAGTGCGTCTTTCCACACGACGTGCTCTGGTTCGCCGGGGCTGCTGACTAGGCCATTTTACGTGACTAAATTTTTTCCTTTTGCACTTTGATTTCCTATTTCTAATTTTTCTTTCAAAAACATTCATCGAACTCAAATTTTTACTCATTTTTTCCAAAATTATTTTCAATTATATCTATAACCTATTTTTTTAATAATTTAATAAAATAAAATAAATTAATTTTTAAATAGTATTTTTATTTATTTTTAAATTGTTAAAATTGATCCCAAATCAATTTCTGGTCGCAAGTATTATAAACTTAAATTAAATATATTAAGTATAAGAAATTAACTCGAATATATATTCAAGCTGTCACAATGTTTGTTTTCATGTAAGTGCTGAACTTGTTTCCTTATTTTTTGTTTTTTCCTATTGGATTATAAATATTTAAAAACAGAATCTTGATAATATTATCATAGATCATAAAGTAGTATATCATTTTATTTAATTAAGTATATGACTTCATGTTATTGTATATAAACTGTTACGGAATTGTAATAACAAGTTATTTAATATGCATGTAACTCTAAATGTATTATATATGTAGCGCCTGGACCGAGAAAAAAAAAAAAAAAGCCACGTCGGCAGCCACGTCAGCAGGCTCGGCCAACCGGGACCTGCCACGTGGCAAAACCATATCGTTCCAAAAAGGGCCACGTTGGCGATACGCGTGGGCGCGATCGGACGACCCAGATCAAGCGTGCGATCGGACGGCTCAGATTTAAACGCACGGACGGCTCAGATTTAAACGCACGGACGGCCCAGATTTAATAAAAAAAGGACGGCCAAGATTAAAACAAAATGGACGGCAGAGATCAAAAGGCAAGGGGTTATAAATAGAACCCCCACACCAGACCACAAACCCTAGCCGCCTGCTGCTCGCCGGAGAAGACGAACCAGAAGCCGGCCGCCGCCACCCGCCGCCGCACCAGAGGAACTTCCGACCGTCGATCAAGGTAAATTTCGTACCCCCGACTCGTTTTTCCACGCTAATTCCTCCTGTGGCCAAATCGGAGCCAAAATCCCGGCCAAACGGCCGGAATGCACGGCCGAAGCCCAGCGGCGCCGCCGCGTCCTTCTCGGTTTTTACCTCCGATGAGGCCCTTCCCGGCCTCCGTTTGATGCAAATTTTATATCACCGTGATCACCACTCTTTTCTCTACAGGTTGACCGGAGCCGAATCACCAAAACACGAACCTCGCTGGAGAGCCGCCGCACCCGAGAGCGCCGCCGCCGGTAAGCTCTGTTTTTTTGTGATTTTTTGGCCCCCCGAGGGCCCTAGGGTTGTTTTCTCGCAGGAACCGATGCGAGTGTGGC